TAAAATCAATCAATCTTTCAAAGGATCTTTCGTAACACAATCCAAGATGCAGTAGCACGTTACCAGTTAAGGATAATAACTCAATGCATCACAACTAACACCAAAGTTCTTAACAAGACTGAGCAACTATATTTCAAAAGAAAACTGGATCCGTCAACCGAAATGAATGTCCTTCCCAATCCTAAGATTAATCAACATGCTTACCCACCTTATGTCCTCCACTGCATTAAACTGCCTACTCGAGCAATCTGGACCCTGAAAGTTTTTTCAAGCAAAATTAAAGCTTATGCTGAATAAGAAAAAAAAAATCTGCAATATCCACTTTAACAAACTGCAATTACACCTTTGTCAACTACAATCTATGGTTTTTACAAAATCGGCCCCTTCTATGAGACAATATCACACAGTGGGTCCTTAGTACACGTATATATACCACTAAAAAGAATTAAACAGAATAGCAATCCAACCCTGAGCCAAAATCCATATGACCAAATCTGATTAGTGGTGTTTACTAAAGTGAGACTAAGTTTTACTGTACAGTTGAGAGGAACCAAAAGATCTCTAGAGTAAAATATTAAATTCTATTTTTAGGTAGGTTTGACAGACTGAGTAGAACAACTCACCACTTGATTGATGATATATAGAGAATTTTAATATCTGTTGTAAGCTTTTGCAAAATCTCCACGCCTATGAAATTCCCCAAAATTATCATGAGGCCTAGTAGTATAAGGTTCCATGTTGTCTGAGAACCTGTTCCTTGAATCCAATGGTAAATTCGTCCCAGCATAGGGAGGAGGATTGACAGAGGACCCATCATATTCAGGAAAGCTCTGCTGTTTAAAACCTCGATAACCAGAAGACATCTGTTGAACTGCCTGCTGTTGAAGCCTCTGCGCATCATGCTGAAGGAAATCTTCCCACTGTCTTGCATGTGTAGCCCTTACCAAGCCAACTTTGCTCATGTACTGCTCCCTCAAATCTCTAATAGCCTTCCAGCAATAAAATGAACATTAAAAATCATGAAGTGGTAGTAATAAACAAGCAAAAGAATAATAATTCGTAAAAATAAAAATCTTTGAATTAAGGACACAGCATATCTTCCGATTTTACCTTTCCTCACTTGCAAAACCAACGTATACAGATAATAAAACTTTGATATACAAGCTAAGTTGCAAGAAACCACAGAACCAAAGTTCAGGTTAGTTACAAGCCTTTTACAAATTATTAATCTCAATCAAAGCATAAATACCAACATCAGCATTGAAGATGATTCTCTGTGACTCCACTAACTTAACTGAAATAAAAATATCATCACACGAAACACTTCTAATTTAGCAGCTGGCTAACTTAATTCTCAATAATACCAAAGGTTTCAATACTTTGCTTTTTCAGTAAGATGGCACGTGCAAGAATGAAGGATTGTAAATTCTGATTAAGATGTCCAAATTACAGGCGTCAAGTAACCATACCTCCCGATGCTTGAAATTTTCTTCATCTTCTTCTCTGTCACGAATTTTCATTAGCTCTGCTGCCTCGTTCTTATATTCCAACTCTAATTCTTCCAAAGTCTGTGGGGAGGCATTGTAATCAAACTGATGACCAGGCTGGATACCAGATTCTCTTCTATGATCCCAGCCATCATTCCTAAACGCACCCATGTTTTGATTACGACCATCAAAAGAACTATATGAGTTTCCTGTAAAAGGGGCATGTCTTGGAGATCTTGACTGGCTTGATCGACCTCTAGCTCCACTATTTCCATAAGCTTCATGAAATGAAGAGTATGTTAAGCACTTGATTCAAGATGCCAACATAGATGATTTGCTTTAATTCAACAAATTGCACTTGATTCAAGATGCTAACATAGCTTTAATTCAAAAACTATCTCTATACTCTCATACTGAAACCATGGGAGCCAATCCTTTCAGTAAATATGTTCGTAATGGAGGAAACCCTTCAGGACGGAGATAATGCTTGAAGGCTAAGAACTTACCTCTTGCTGCAAGTAAATGACAACCAAGAGAAAAATGAATACAATGCAGGCCCTTCCAGGATAAATTTTACTATAGAAGTAGTAATATACAGAATCCTATCAGGCTATGAACATGAGATTACCAGCTTTCTAAGGATGCTGTAAATATATCCTATGCTGTCCCTACCTTGTGGAGAACCTCTAGCAAACTTTTGAACATCCTCCCAGATTCGGTCTTCAACAGCCCTCTCATGCCTACCAAACCTTTGTTGAAACTGAGATGTATTCCGTGGTCCAGAATGAGACCTTTGGGGCTCAGAGCGTTGAAACCGTGCATTAACCGGACTTCTCTCACTTCTCTCAGGTGATCTTGATCGGGTCATTTGAGAACTAGATGATCCCCTTTGTTCACCCTCTTCTCGAATCTTGTGTACCGCATCAACACCTTTTGCCATAACTAATCTATCCTTACCACTGACAATGATAAACTTTTCATCCATCTTAATTTTGCAACCAATGTCCCTTTCAATCTTGCTTAAAACTTTCTCTGTGAAAAGTGCCCGTACATTTTTGTCTCTAGCAGGTATCCTTTCAAAGAAATCTTGAGACTTGCGATTGGCTCCAAGGGTAGATGGGCAGCCCTACATTGTGAAGTAAAATATCATTTAATCAAATAATGAAAGTGGTCATAATATTTTTTTCAAATTAACTAACAATTCTATATACAAATCATGTTCACAATACCGCAAGGCCCTAACATGATAAATAAAGTCAATCATGATGCCAAAATAAGAATAGATGGCCTCCCATTTCCATTCAAAACAATAAAGAGTCAGCATGTGATTTAGTTTCTACCGCATCAACAAGAACCAAAAGAAACCATGAATAAAGATAGTAGTGCCCACTAAAAATTATAGAAAATTTTTTGTCGGAGGCGGTAGTGGGATACTCAAAGGAAAAGAAAAAATAGGGACAACTAATATCTCTACCCCCTCCAGTTAATGAAATCAGTTGCAACTTTTCCATTGAAATAAGAATAAATACCTTAAAGTCAACCCGTAGCCACGGAGTAGGTTTGGAAGTGTAATATATGTGAAGTGACTCATATGAAAGTAAAAACGATGGCGGGCAGAGGGTAGAATTGATAATGGAAATGTAGAGGAAACTTGTCATACCTGAGTGAAATGCCTGATTCTCCACAAACTTGCATATCATTTCCTCATCCGTCCTTTCTTCCAATTCCTTTCAGTAGCCTTTGACTTAGCCTCCCAAACCTTAGCTTCTCGGCTGGTGAAATCAGTGGGAACAGCATTTGGGTCCCGACCTATCCCTCCTCATCAGACCCTGCATTAGACCTCTTATTTGGTTTTGCCCTTCTCTTGCGTTTTCGTAGCAGCAGAACTTGGGGGGCCAGTGTACTCCTTATAAAGCTCACGAAAGTCGTCATCAATATCTGGATCCGGTCTATTTGCCATTAAAAAATATGCACACTAACTGAATTGAATTCCTGCATTTCCAAAAATGAAGCAGCAACACTCAAACCCACTAAAATAAGGAGAAAAGGAAACATCTAAAAGAAAAAGGTACTCATAACGTGAATAAATTTTACCCAAATTTCAATAATTATTGCAACCGTTGTGGATCAATTTCAACTAAGTGTGATGTATTGGAACAGATAAGTTTAACAAACTTATCCATAAATTAGCACACATGAAGAAAACCAAACTATTAGAGCATACAAACCATCACAGATTATTGTAAAGAATGTCTGTTCGCTTAAATAACCCGCGACAAACATAAAATTCATGAAGAAGTGCGTAGCCAGTATTTTCAGCCCTCGATGAAGTATTGATTCGAAAAACCCGCTCAATCGGAAGAAATGAACGACAAAAATTGAGACGGGAAAAAGCGTTGAAACAGCAACAACGAAGGGAGATTTGCGAAACGGAACATGAAATAAAAGGTGCAAAAACCGAAAAACATATGCAGTGAAAAAGATGAAGTGATATTGTTGAGATATTTGATTTGAGGAGAGAAGAAGACTTACGGTGTGGGATGGAGACGACGATCCTCCACACTGCAAAATGTTGATTACGTTTCCATAACTCACTCAAATGACCACATATCTACATTTTTCTACCTAGGGTTGCATACCCATACCCGACCCGAATTAATTTCTCTAAAAATAAATAAAATCTTTGATTTGAAGATAATTAAATAAATATATAATAATCATAAACGGGAAATGCAACTCAAAAAACACACGGAAAATGTAAAAAAACAAAAAACAAAACTCCGGATCAATCACAGACATTATAAAATTTTTAATAATTAATGTAAATAAATTTAACATATATAAAAAGTTTATGATTAAATGACAATACAAAGTTATTTTATTCCCACTGGTATAAATGTTATTTTAAAAATAAGTTTTATTATTATTTATTTATAAAACTAACAAATAATTTTGCGTCACACACCACAGATAGACTAAACAAGCCTATATGTCTTTATTAAATTATTATGTATAATATGCTATTTGATTACAAGAATATTTATCATTTGAGAATACATCAATAATAATATTAAACATAAATAATTTATTATATAGTTGACATGTATAAAATTTTGGGATTAAATCACAATATAGTATTGGGGAATATTGTTCTTCAACTTTTAATAATTATATAATATCATATATATAATAATTATATATATTATATATATATAATTTAGGAGCAAAGTTTTTCTTTTTCGAACTTTTTACAATTTTAGTGATAATACGTCAATGTATATCTACATTTAATTGGAGAGTTCTTTTAAAATTTACAGTACTGTAAAAAAATTACATATCGTTGGAGGAATTTTCAACTTGATTAAAGTGTTAGGCAATCTGGGCTTGAATAAGAATACATAATATCATATAACAAATATATTTTGTAGGTAACCATTTTGAATATCAAAATTATGGATTATAATAAAATGATAAATATATCACTTCTGAAAAAGTAAAGTACTATCAATAAACAAATTTAATATCACTTTTTTAAGATATGTATAGCAAACTAACACTTTAGATCAATAAAGTAATATCAATTTTATATCGAGAACTTTAATAGACTGAATTACATAAGAAATTTTCGTATACTGTCTATGTTTCCAATAAAGTCAAATTTATATGTTAATGTAAGAAAATGTCACAAATTAAAAGAAAATAAAACGTGTACGAGAGATAGAATTAAATTTGGCCATCTAATTTTTTATTAAATCAACAATTGTTATTTATTTAACCTTGTTAGTAAATTGTGTTCTTGGTGTTCTAATTTTGTTCCAATCGATAAGATCGGCTCGTGATATTTTTCTAATGAAAATTCGAAGTATTTCAAGATAAATATGATGCTTAAATATTTTTTTCAAAATTAAAATTTTAAAACTTTATAAGAGTAATTGGTTTACTAAAATTTCAAATTCCATTTTAAAAAGTCAAAATAAAAACTTCTTTTATTTATGTATTTTTATACTCTTTTGCTATCTCAACTTTGTTAAGTCTTTGATTTTATCAATTTTGCAGAGACGAACACGTTCAATGTCACTTTTTAAATATAATAAAATTTATTTTAGATTGAAGTAAATTGTGGCGAATTTTGTTTTGTGATGTAAGCCAGTTTTATTTTTTAACAGATGTCAATAAGTTTTTCTTTTATAAACAATACTTTTTAACTGATATCAAACCTAAATTTTATTATTTTCCATTAACATTATTAAAGTTATTTGAAGTTGATATAAGCTTTGGTTTTCTTTATTAATATAACTACAAAAACATTTCAGTGAAAATTTATTACATTTTTTAATTAACGTTAGTTCAAAAAATTTCTTGATTTTTTTTGTCAATATCAACAAGAATTTATCAATATTAGTGAAAATTTTTGTTAATGAAAGTAAACTATTTCGTTAATAGATCTTTTGGTTCATATTATTGGAATCTTTTTATATAGCCGTGTTATTTTTCGAATGGTATACTCTCTATCATGTAAGCATGACAGGTTTTTGATAAATTGCAACTATATTTTTTTGGTAGTTATATTTCATGATAATCAGTAGTCAATATTTATAAAGATTTTTTTATTGATTGTCATACTAATTGTATTTTGTTTAAAAGTTATTAGAATTTATTATTTCCTAAAGCTAGTCGGATAAAGTTTTAATCAATATTAATTAATTTAGGGATTAAACCCGTTTAAAAATTGGAACAAAAAAACACTCCAAGAGATAAGCAAGATAAAATAAATATAAAATGAAAAATAATATTAAAAATATTACAATAGTTTAAAATTAAAGAGACTCAATTATTTAATATTAAAATAATTTAATATAAATATTATTATAAATGAGTTTCATTATTTTAAAATCCAATATCTTCTAAAAATCATTAGAGTTCTCTAATTTCTTGAAAAGGGTTTTTCTTCCCTATCTGTCTAATTAAAAAATCAAGACCGTATGGTTGATCATTGCTGCTAGTTCTTCAATCTAGACTAATTAGTTTCTCTTTTTGAGTAAGTTGAGTTTTCAACCATTTTTGGTCTATTTTTATATTGTGGCATGTGTCTTTTTAGTCTTCTGTCTCAGTATTTAATGATTAGTGGTTATAACGGTATACCTTGATCGTGTGTTTTGTTATTTCTAGGAGCAATTAGAGTTTCATGAGCTTTTGAAGTTATTTTAGGATCCTAAAGTTGTTTGGTCATTCAAAATGTGAGGGAAGCTAGTTATTTTAATTTTAATTGGTAAACAAGTTTTATTTGATGTTTGTATGATGATATGATAGTTGATTTAAAAAATTGAATTGTTTGATGAAATTTGGTATGTTGAGTTGTTTGATGAAGTTTGGCTATGTTAAGTTGAACTGGGGATGTTATATTTGTTAAATTGCTTGATTACTTTGTTGTTGAACCCTGGTTTGATAATACGCCAAAAGAATAATGAGTTTTTGGTCTAAAATTAAGGTTTTTACATGTGAAATTTTAGAAGGGTGGTTATTGAAGTAAGTTTGATGTTTAGGTCTCTTATTGAGTCACATGTGACTAATTTAGTTACTTATTTCACTAAAAATGTGGGTTGTACTGTGTACATTTTGAGTTATAAGTTTGAGTTTATGGTTTGATCTAAGGCACCTTGTTCATGGCCGAATAAGCAAATTGGCATTCAATTATAGTCTTAAACATGTTTTTGAATAAATCATAGAGTCAATGATACCGATATTTATATTGACAATCAATGATACCGATATTTATATTTGAGTAAATTCTAAACATTTGGATAGGTCTAGAGTGCAACCAAATTAAAAAATCACAATTGGTGTAAAAATTGTCTAAAATAATCGATTATATTATTTGATAATTGTTTATTTTAGTAAGAATTTCATCTTTGCCTAAAAATATCTATGGAATAATAGATTATCAGGTGAGATAATCAATTATTTTAAAAGAAGTTAATCTTTGCCTTATATCTCTTTGAAATAATTGATTATTAGGTAAGATAATTGATTATCTCGTAAGATTTTCGTTGGGCGAATAGCACGGGACGCGAGACTTGACATTGGGCATTTGCAGTTTCAACTTTTTTTTCATGTTTTCTATGGTAGTGTGAATTATGTTTTGAGTTAAGTATGGTTAATTTGATATTTATTGAGGCTTATTGAATGGTGTATAATGTGAGTATGAATGATATGAGATGTGAGAAGAACCTCCGCGACAGGTTATTTAATAGATAAATTTGTGGTATATGCTTTATAATGAGATTTCTAAAAGGAGGTTCATATGAGTTATATAATTTTTCAATGTTGAACTATTATGTGATGTATTAAATTGTTTGTGAAGTTTTCTTGTGAACACTAGTTTCATCATGTTGTCTCTTTTTTTATTATTGGTTTGTTGTTTGTTTCTTTTGCAATAATCACTTATTTGTTACTATTGTGATTGGTGGGAGTAGACGAGGGTAAGTATGATAAAAAAAATTGCGCCTGCGAATAAAATCCGCCACGAGTAGTTATTATCCGCGGATATTTATTACTCGCAAATAATGGATAACACGTATTTTAATATCCGCTTCTAAACAGGTTGGGTGCGAATATTATACTATCCAACCCACTGGTACCCGTTATCCGCAAAAAATAATAATAATAATTTAATTTATAACTTTTTTTTATTATTCTTAAAAATATGGAAAGCTTCTCAATTAAAAATTATGAAATCCTAATTAAAAATCTCAACTGCCCAATTGTTGGTTTCTCTCACAAACTCTATTCATAATTTATTTTCTAATCTTTACTCTTTTACATTTTTCACAAGCAAACCGAGAAGCTTCAAGTTTATTCTTTACCTCTGTTCATGTAATTGGGATTTTTCCTGACCTTGTAATATGTTTGGAGTTTCTTTTCTTTTTTTTGATTGAGATTTTTTGGGATTCTTGGTTTTCACAGTGTTTTGGGGTTTTCTCTACATTTCTCATATTGAAATTCTCTGCTTGCAATTTTGTTATTACGAATCGAGGTTAGATTAAATTTAATTAAAAAGACTAAATTTTAATTTATATTATACTATCTATATTTTTTGTAGTTTTATTTAAATTTTATTTTGAAAGTGTATAAAATATATTTTTAAATTTTTTGTAATATCCGTATGTATCCGCGAGTTTTAAAATATCCACGAGTATTTTTAAATGATACTCATATGCATAGCGAGCGAATTGCGGGTTAGATTGACTAGATATAAGTATTGAAGTAGTGCTGGTAGAAGACAAAGAACATCTTCTTGATTGTCTAATGGTTAAGTTGAGTTTTTATAGATATAATTTTTATTATGGTTGTTTTATTTTACATGACTGTATTAATATTATATTTATAAGAAGTGACAAAACTTTATTTTGTTTTATCAATTTTATAAAATATTATTTTATCACTAGGTGTTAAAATTTAGAATTTCAATAAAAACATTTTTTTGATAATGATTAAAATACTTGTTTTAAATGATAAAAATAAACTAATAAATTTAAATTGTGTCACATTTTTGTTAAAATATTTTCGAGAGTTAAACTCAATATATTTAGATTTTTTAAAATGTTTAAATTTGCTGTCAAACTACAATTCATAATAAATCTCGTTGCAATTTTATTCTCT